TACCTTAACAACCAACTTGCCGACACAAGCTATGAATATTGTCATATCACACTTGCTGACATAAGCTATACACAGCATCACATCCAACTTGCCGACACAAGCTATGAATATTGTCATATCCCACTTGCCGACAGAACCCATATATACCATCCCATCCCATTTGCCGACAGAAGCTATTTATACCATCACATCCAATTTGACGACTGAAGCTATATATACCATCATAACTCACTTGCTGACAGAAGCTGTATAAACCATAACAACCAACTTGCTGACAGAAGCTATATATACCATCACATCCAACTTGCCGACACAAGCTATGAATATTGTCATATCCCACTTGCCGACAGAAGCCATGTATGCCATCCCATCCCACTTGCCAACAGAAGCTATTTATACCATCACAACCAACTTGCCGACACAAGCTATAAATACCATCACATTTCACTTGCCGACACAAGCTATATATACCATCACAAACAACTTGCCGACACAAGCTATGAATATTGTCCTATCCCACTTGCTGACATAAGCTATATATACCATCATATCCGATTTGCCGACACAAGCTATGAATATTTTTATATTCAACTTGTTGACATAAGATATACCTATGGAAGGGTATTAAAGTAAAAAAAAATATTCTTGCTTGAAGATTAAAAATCAATACATGTAAATGATTTACTCTTGCATGTATAATACATGAATACAATGGTACATTAATACTGTAATATTTTTTCCAAGTTCCTTATTTCTATGTCCCATGGTTTGTTTTTATTAAACATTTTAATTCTGAACGCAAAATGTATTATACATAGTTAGTGAGTTTAAATTGTTAATGCTGATGTTCTATTTTTACGCCGTATTTCCTTCGCAATGTTCTTATTTGCTTTTGTTATAATAAGGACACTTTGCACATTCAAAAGTTAAGAATTGTACCAATAATATTGGTATCCATTTACAAAGAAATTACAACAAAGAAGGAACCAGATATTCCCTTTCAAAATAGGGGGCACGTCAATCACGACATAATGGTTTTCCAGTGCTATAAATAGTGGTTTGACTCTTTTCTGGAGGATAAGTCAACCCGCACAGCTCATCGCTTAGAGCGCAAGACTTGTAATCTCAACATTGTGGGTTCGATTCCCGGACAGGCCAACTAAAATTACTAATCGGTCTTTCGGATGAGACTTTAAATGGCAGTCTTTCGGATGAGACTTTTAATGGAGGTCCCTTGTAAACATTTGGCACGTTAAAGAACCAGGGGAAGCTTCTGGAATTGGGGCACCTTTTTGTATCTGTATCACTATCCTTCAAAATTTAAAAATACTTATACTTTTCTGGAAGACTCGCCAATATGGGCAACCGATGGCGAGTATAAATAAATTAAAGTACAGAAACTTTATGTAAAAAGACGTTTGGTAAGCTCAATAGGCAGAGCGTTGGACTATGAATCGGGCGGCCCGGGTTCAATTCCCGGAAAGTGCAGGTCACATTCCTTGAGATTATCAGGGGATCCTTTCTACGGTTATTCACACTGTACCTCTGCTCAAACATGTACAAAAATTTCAGTAAACTTGACAGCTTGCCCTTGAACGGTACGGTGTCTGAAGTGTGCTCTGGTAAATTCAGTGTGGCTTACTGCCGTGATCCGGAGTGAACATACCACCACCACTCCTAGGGACAACTTCGTCCTTTACGTAGCCAGTATATATAAATATATATATTTTGAAATACTGACTTGATTATATAAACTATGATTATGTACAATTGAATTGGCTTAAGATATTGAAAGCAAATTGATTTTGCGTCTAGAGGCTCGGCCATGAAAATAGACAACAGTTTGTACTTAATGAAGGTCCAATATATCAAACAGCACAATAATTAAGACAATATTGACTCTTGGTTTCCGTGCAACATTTATTGCAACAATTTCAAATCGATTTCAAGTAAACTTGAATATTTACAGTATATTTCGTTGGGAAAAGTTGCATCTGCTTTCAGTGTACATGGCTACACTTATTTCAAGGTCCCAACATTATTAATAGGGTGCATTTTAAATTTAGAAAATTGCATGTTATTAAATGATTTAAAAGAAAAACATTTTACAAAACCCATTTTACTTAACTTCTTTTTGACCCTGTGACATGTTTAGTTTATTTTCCGATACAAACAAAATCATGTCTACTGACAACATAGAACTGAATTTGATTTAGATAAAATTTTATTAATGAAAGTATAATGGTTGAAAAGGTTGTCATATTTATCGAATCTGGGTCACCAACCCAATAATAAATTTCTGGCCGTCCGATAACCAGATGTCAATGTCAATTTTCCTGGCGCAAGGTAACCAATTTCTTAGTGGACAGGTATTGATTTACTATTTTAACTTTTTTTCCACTCAATTTGTCAATAGCTATGTTCAAACAAATTCTGTATGAATAAATATAATAATTGGCATGCCTTAATTATTATCAAGAATTCAAAATTGATTAAAGAATAGATGAACAAAAATATATCATTTTGAGAAATCATAACTAATTAACCAGAGGTAAACAACTCATGCAATCGGAACATAATGTAAAACGAATTTATATATTTGACATCAAAAGGAAAATACAGTCTGTCTCGGTACAATTATGATTGAAAATATGTGTGACAACCATTTCTGTCACTGATGTACATTATAAACATATCCGGCTCTTTAACAACAAGTTTCCGATTTCTACAACCATAATAAGTATATAAATAATGTATTGACTTTTATATCTATGGATTTACATATTTCAGGTGGACTTTTACTTAAAATATCGAAAAAAGACCAAAAACTTGTCAACAACTCCCATCATCAAATTACTAGTACTACATGACTACCGTATCCCTTCTGTGTATTCTTACTATTGTATTTTAGGAACGTCCTCCGCTATTATTCATAATAACATCGGAAACAATATAGATTGAAAGTAGTTCTATCATGTGGTTTCAGATGTAAACAGACAAAAGGTGTAATCTCCGAGAATGTAAATCGCATGTATATATTTGACATCTAAAGGAAAATATAGTTTATTTCGGTACAATAAAAATTGATTTTTTTTTTAAAACCACTGATGTATAATTATAAACAAATCCGACTGATTGTCAGCAGGTTGGCATGTTTTACTTTCGGTTTCTACAACCCAAATAATAGGTATAGAAATAAAGTATTGTTTACTTTAATATCTTTGAATTTACTTATTTCAGGTGGACATTTACTTCATATACATGAAGTTGAAAACAACTTGTCAACAACTCCCAGCATTAAATTACTATTTGTTAATATATTTAGCTTCTTAGCGTTTATTATTGTATGAACAACTGGCTACATTAAATGTTTAGGATCTTATTGTGCTGTCAACAGGAACAATGATGCTTAGAACTATCCTTACAAATACTGAATCTTACAAAACAACAAGGAAGAAGCTGTATTAAAGACAACGCTAACTTAATTGTGGGCATAGGCTTCAAGGCATAGGCATAGACTTCATGGACTTCACGTCTTGCATAAGGATTATCAAGAAAGTCATCATTAACTATTTAATAGGAGAAATTATTATTTAAAATTGACAAGTTAAAACTAAGATATCATATCAAATGAAAATTATGTATCTACGTCATCATTTTCGCGCGGTTCAATCCACCTGGGTTTTAACATGGCTCTACCGGGATTGTCCTTGGCTCTGCCTGGATCAACTGGTGCTCTGCATGTGTCAACCGAGGCTGTGCCAGCATCATCCTGGAACGACCGGGGAAGCACCGACATGAACCGTAGCTACACCTGGGCTCTGAGGAGCAGCCTGTGTGTTAGTTGGGAATTACTGTAGTACTGCCGGGGTAAGTGTGGTGTGACCGCAACAATAAAGGCATCCCGGATAGTCCCGGATCATCCCAGTAACTTACCGGAGTGGTCCTGGGCTCTGCCGGGAATATGTTAGACCGCGGCTTAACATTTAAGACTGTGGACATACTAAATATATCTAAGTCCTAACTATACGAAGATTGATAAAAAGGTTCTTGGCCCGATGTACTTCCGGTAGTCAGAGAAGCCAACTAATGGTCTTACTTTTCAATATAATCGCCCTTTATATCAATTATCTTTGCCCACTTGTGCTCCAACTTGTTTAACCCTTTAAAATAAAACTATTTATTTTGTCCTGAAAGAACTCATTGACCGCCTCCATAACAGCTTCATTGCTTCCAAAACCTCGACCACGAAACTTTGTTTTCAGTTTTGGAAACAAGTAGAAGTTAGCGTAGATGAAGTCCAGAGAATAGCCATCGCAACGTAGGATGTGTGAGCTGGCAATTGTCGTGCAGGAGCAGAACAGGAGTTAGTTTGCCCCTCCTTTTACGCGCGATTTCTCGACGTAGACGTCTCAATTCGTCTGCATAGCACGTATCGTTTATGGTACGACCTTGCTAATGATAGTCAATCATGACTTTCCCAACGAATTGAAGCCATCATCTTCCCTACTGATGACACCCTCTTGAATTTCTTCGGAGGGGATGAGCCAGGGTGCTTCCACTGCATGCTTTGTTTTTAATTCTGGATCGAGGTGATGGGCCCATGTTTCATCTCGAGTTACGATCCGGTAGCTTAAATCAGGTTCATCATCGTAGCGAGACAAAAGATATCTTGAAATGTCAAGCTTGGTCCGTTTCTGGTCGTCAGTCAACTGTCTTGGGACCCATCTGGAGGAAACCTTTGACATGCCATAGACATCATTCAGAATTGCCTGACCTGAACCATGGCTTATACCAATTTCCCTAGCAATGCTTCGCAGGTCTCGCCTTCTTTCGCATATGACCAGATTGTGCACAGCTTAGGCAGTTTCATCGTTGGTGGCCTCTTTTGGCCGCCCAGCCGCTCATCATTTCCAATGCTCTCCCTGCCCCTCTTCGAGAACTTTTTGATCATACCTCGTATATATTATCGCGTTACCATGGTTACTATTCAACTGTCGTTCAATGGGTTTTGTATTTCATATATTTAATTATATATTAAATATATATTACAGCTATCGTTTTTTTAAATATTTTCATGTGCATAAAATATATACAAGACCTTATACTCATAATGAAATACGAAGCGTGTTCTTCAAAATGTTTTTACCTTTATGATGTTTCTTCTAAGAACGATAAGCATGATTTTTAGCATTTATGTTAATGTTGAGCTTGTGATATTATTAATAATGGTGATAAAGTTATGATTGCTTTTTTTTACCTTTTTTCTTCTTTTGATATGTTTCCTCGGAGATCTCGGCATCGTTACCTCTGGCTGAAAACATATTATGATAAAGATAATGCATGACGATAAAGTGTGAACTCAAAGAAAATAAACATATGATTATTATCAATAATGCCATAAAAAATAATAAGAATTATTTGAATAAGGAAAGTGTAGGTTGTAAAACGTGCATTTTGTTACTTTAATTAGCTGAGATTTGTAAGAACATATGTAGGCTTAGATAACTTAAATAATGCCTTACATTTTTCTGCAGCTTTTTGTATATCCATTATTGCATTTTCTTTTTCTTTGTTGACAGTTTGAACTCCATCATTGACAACACTTTCAAGGGTTTCTTTTCCTTTTCTTGCCAAGTTGTCTATCTCCTGAATCGATTGTTTTACCTTAGCATCAAAAGCATCAATGGACGAGTTTATCGCATCATTCAGCTGGGCAAGTGAAACATTTTCAATATCTTTTACTTTTAAGTTAATTATGTCAATCAGCTCTAATTTTCTTTTTTCAGTCTCCTGTTTGTACTCATCCATCTCATTTCTTATTTGTTCCTGAATCGTTTTTCCCACATCTTCCAAAACTTTACGTACAACGTCTTTCCCAATGATCAAATCGTCACTTTGAAGCTGAAATTATAGAGAAAAGGTTGAGTGCATTGAATTATTTATCATCAATTTTTACAGAATACCCTGTCATTTACATGTATAGTGGCTCATTTAATAAATTTTCATGCAGGTTAATATTTTTTTATTCTTTTCATAGCGTTTTTTCTTCAAAATATTTTATATACGGATTGCCTTAGCCTTTCCTAAGATGAAACAATTTGAAACATTTATGACGAAGTAATTTTAGAATGTAAGGATTGGCATATCACATTTCAAAACGATATTAATACGAGTATTTATTAATAAATTTCTTTGTCAGATTTTCATTTTGAGGGGATTATTTTTAAAAACAGTCAACAAGCTATTTCAAACGTGTTTTAGAGAATTAATTTCTTGGGAACTAGGAATAATGCCAGTATTACAAAGTAACATTTGACATAATGATTGTTATATTTGTATTTTTTAAAATAATTAAAAAAAAGCGTGAAACCCGTTGGGGTTTGGATAACCTCAAATTTTATTCGTTTTAAATCGATGTAAAAAATAAAAAAACAAAAATGATTACCGTTTTCCAATTTTTTAAATTTCAAATTTTTTGGTGTTTTTTTTCATTTTCTTGAATCCAGGATCCGTCAAAAATATTGTTTAAAATGGTAAAATACTGTGTTAGATCTGTATCCTCGACCTCCAGATTAGGAGAATGTCTGACAGCTTTTCCAACATCTCTTCCCTAAATTGAAATATGTAAGTACAGTTTGGTCAAGTGAATAATTCAGATATGATATTTCTTTGACCAATATATGTTATGGATAAATATCAACAAATGTCGTTATTACAGTTGTAGAGCACGTCTTTACAGTACAAAGATGGACAGACTGTGACTTGAAACAAAAAACGACAACCAAACGGTGTCATGTAGTCAATTGCTCGTTCAAACTTGTTTCAATGATGACTCATATGATCTTTAATTGTTTCCTAATATAAAGCAAACATTTGTGAAATTAAAGAAAATTTAGAAACCAAATTAAATATACAATAAATATAAATCACATTATTTAACTGTTACCTTGTCAAATATATTATTCTTCTTGGACAAGTCGTCTTTTATTTTTGCCTCAAATCCTTTGTGATTAATAATGACACTAATGATGCCATTAAAATCAGTCTCTGCAGCGTTCGATACATCCTTGTATCCGTCTGGCGGGAGATAACATTTGGCAATTTCCCAGGCATTGCTGCACCATTTGGTTGCGTCCGTATTTTTATATGACGGACCATGATATCGATGTGCGCTTTGAATCTCAGATTTTAAATGATGACAAATTTTATTCGGGCAGCCAGATGGGCGATACTTTGTTGCAGCGTTTTTATGGTAACTGCATTTTCCTCGTTTTGCGTTGCAAATTCTGTTTGTTGGACAAACAATCAGATTTTCCGTACAGCAGTTTGAACAGGTGCTTCCGGCTGGTAGGCTGTTTGATGCGGAAATAGTATTTAGAGAGTTCTGCTGGAAATCTTTGACTTCATTAACAATAACTGGCTCTATTTCGTCTTTAGTGTATAAAACGGCTATTGCAGCCTTAATCCAATTAAAAAATTTTGAATTGGAAAATTGTGTCTTCACTGTCGGCAATGCTGTAGCCATCATATAATGTTTCTGAGGAGCTAGGTCGTGTACCGTTCCTTAAATCAAAAATATGAAGTGTCAATGCAATAAATGTATATTATTTAGAAGGATTACAACAAAGTTTAGATGTCTTGTTCACATACTGTAGGAGATGTGTATTAACCGTTAACATTGAAAAACCAAAGTTATGTTATTTACAAAAGCGTGGACCATTGCGTGAAAATGAAAAAATAAACTTACAATGACACAAAAATTTAGCTGTTGTAAAAAACGTTAACTATTTAGGTGTGGTGTTGGACTCAAATGGCAATTTTAACTCTAATGATGACTATTTCTATAGAATAGTCTCTGTTATTTGGGGAACAACTTATACCCTGCCTTGGTTATGACGTAGGTACTGTATCTACGTCATATCCTTTTAACGCTGGCGTCGAATGTTGTAACAATGGAAGAAATGAATTGTTGAAAAAAAAATGGAAAAAATCGCTGATCAAAACAGCAATCGATAGTAATATCTTCTAGATATGAATCGATAAGACGTCGGTGATTTTCTGTGTGCCCTATAAGCAGCAATTTTGTTGATATTTTCCACGATTGAAGCGGATTTGTTCTTGATGTCTTTGGTGGGAACATGGAACACGGAATCAAGCAGGATATTATATGGACAGAGAAGTTTTCTTAGTCAATTCAGGTTTAGATCTTCAAAAGATTGTTGTCGAGAACAGTTTAAATTTAAATTATTTATATTCATTGTTTTGTGAAATGAACATAAGATTGTACATTGTGTCAGTGTAGCTTTATGCTGACTGCTGCCGTAAATTGACAATTTTACTATGACGATCCATGGATCTACTCTCGCCCACGGCTATTCGTTTAGCTATGTTTGTATCTCGCTATAATGTTAAATCATTCGCAGTTTATTAGTTATGATGGTAACGATGATGATTGTAATAAAAACCTTTAAAAAAAATATGATATATAAATAATACGATAATCTAGCTAGGTCAGTAGGTATTTCAATGGTGTTAAGAATGGTGGAAGCAAGAAAGTTTTGTTAACTTTTATGCTAATTGTCCTGAATTAGGAAAAAATGTGTCTATTAATCTAACAGGTTCATAATAAATCAGTTATAATACTGTTATTATTAGATCTAATCAGTTTTAAAATATATTTTATTTGCTTTTAAATCATCAAAATAGATCTATAATTTTCTTTTTGCTGGACGAGATTGGAAGAATGTGATTAAAGACAATACACTACTGGTCTGTATGGGAAATGTGGAAATAAATGCGATGGTGATCAGCAGCGTCTTGTGATGACTCCTGACATTTGATGAATTTTTGTATGAGATAAATTGGTGACTGATGTTAGTAGAGCTAGTAGTTTAGTTCCTTACAGTATTAGGTGAGGTATTTCCTGTTTAAAAGTTTATTTTATACATTATTTTACAATGTGAAACCTAGGTTTAGATCTACATGTTGAACAAATTAATTTTTCAGTTATATTTCAGTTTTTGTTATCATAGATGTGAATACATTGCCTTATTTTAGGGCCTATTGTTTTTATGGTAAAATTAAGTATGCATAATTAGCAGTAAATTATGTTGGATAAGAAGGGGTTAAAATCACATTAAATAGAAATTGATAAATTGATAATGCACAAATAATTAAAAGATGCAGACTTCAATGCAACATCAGTCACATGATTAAGATATTAGATAATAATAATTATAGTAAATTAATAAATATTATAAAAAAATAAAATAATAACAATAAATAAATAGTAATTATAATAATAATAATTATAATGAATTGTTAATAATAATAATAATAATAAATTATTAATGATGATGATAATAATAATAATAATAGTTAGTAATAATAATGAATTGATAATTGTAACAATAATAATAATGATGATGTGATCTAATGATAATAATAAGACAATGATCATGAATTCATAATTATAATAAAAATAATAATAAATTATTAATGATAATAAATTAATAATAATAATAATTTTAAATATTTGTCTTTGTCTGACTATGTTTATAATTCATGGTGTAGGCTACATTACAGTACAGATTTATAACAATTTATATTTGTCACACAATTTATTGCAATTTTAAGTTGACAAGTTGTAGTTCACTTTTCATTGTAAAATTTATTTTCCATTGCACCTTTTATTTACTTTACACAACCTAAAAAGATAAATATTTTAATATAATAAATGGATAGCTAATTTATTAAATGATTGTGAACCTCTTTTGATGATTTAGTCATAGTGAACACCATCCAAATATAGATCTAAAACTTTAAATTTGAAAGTATATCATTTAATTTTTATTTTTTCTTATAGTTTGACCATAGATCTACACATAATTAAACTTAAAACTTTAATTTAGAGGTTAGAAGTTTTAGATTTAGAGGTTAAAAGTTTTCCATTTCTTTAGGATTTCTTATAATCTTATGCTATATGGTACTCATTCCCCTAAACTAGCGATAAAAGTGAACACGCTTCTTAAATTTTAGTGTTAAACACTGTTGATAATATTTACACAAAATCATGCATTCAACGTTTAACTTTTCTTTGTTGAATGTTGTTCAAAGGAAAATCATTCAAGACAGTTTTCTCTTGGCTTTAGTATAATACCCAACTTTGGTTAAATTGCAAGACCAATTTTTATGTAAACTAATACATGTAATAGAGGATGTGAGGTTTGATATTTAAAAAGTTAATTTAAATCGTCTTACTTTAATTTCGGTGTTGAAACAATATTTTATTTTGAAAAAGTACACCCTATTAATTTCAAAATAACATGGTTATGATATTAAAATGACATTGTTCCTATTTTGTCATGGTCAAGTTATGCTGAATTGACTTTATGTTTCAAATAATTGACTGAAAAAAGGTTATTGACCTACAGCTGATATTTTAAAATGTTTAGGATAAAATATAAGTATGCCTAAAATATAAAAAGACTGTCCCAAACTTTTTATAAATTGAACATTTTGGGTAATTTCCAATGTCATTGATTTATCGTTCATAAATGGAAAGTACATTATAAAATTGAAAGGAATTATGGCAAGATGTAAACTTATTTGACTTTCACCTGTTCACTCATTATAATTAAAGCCTTGGATGGGCATTATGCATTATGTCAAAAATATCTATTACTGTATTACATACTGTTTAATACTGTTTACATTCTATTAGTGTCAATTAAATGTACAAATGTTTTCATAATTTTGTAATAAATTATTATGCACTTCAGAGTCCATCTAAGCTCTTGATATTTATATAATTTTTGTTCTTAAAATGATTGCCTATTTATCTTCATGGTAATAAACTTTGTTGATTTCTGTCTGGATTATTTTATTAACAATAAACATAATAAGGCACATAAAAAACACT